ATATATATATATATATATATATATATATATATATATATATATATTTATATATATTTAAATTTGCTACAAGTACATATCAGTGTATGTGACGGCTTATATATACCGCCAATCTATTAATTCCGGATTGTTGACCGTTGAAACATATACTCTGCCGGGATGCCAGCGCGAGAAAATAATCAGCGCTGTCGATTTATGGACGGACAAGACTTCGCCGATGAGAATTGTAACACGTGCCGGCTTATAATTAGACAATACAGCACATAAACTTCGAGAAGATGCAGAGAATACGTAAGCTTACTTCTGAAATATGTTTGTACTGACACGGAAGCTCGGTAGCATATAAAATCACGAGATATTGACTTTTAAGAGATATATTTGAAAATCTGAGTGCAGCGGGCTACTAGTAGGCATCTGGGCGTATTCGCATCTCTGTCTGCTAGTGCGGGGCCAGGTATCTCTGGTCTACGGGTATAGTCATGAAACTACGAGCGTAGGTAGTCGTTCGACGTTCAGATATTACTCAAATACATTTGAGTCTCAACGCAGAGGTACAGGACAGCTTACTATTCGTGATAAGAGGATGAATCTGGATGAACTGGTATAAATTTCTCACACTTTGTTTTATGCCGACATAACGTTATTGTCGAGTTTGCAACCTTTCGAGTAGACCTACGTGACTAACTCTTTCCTTGTTGCGAGGAAAAATCAAAATTTAGTTTACTTCTGACCATGTCAGACTCCTTCGGGGTATATTTATTGACTTGTTCGTTTTTAAATTTTACATTCTATTGACATTCTAAGGACATGTTCTAGCATGCGAATCCCGCTCAAAAAAATGCAGTAGCCCTACAGCAATATAAATTTAAAAGCTAGGTGATCCGAAGCAAGCCGTGTCCGATCTGACCCCTCCTCTCCGCAGCCGAGCCCAAAAGTATTAGGATTCGATCCATGTTTATCGCCCGATATAAACTTCAAGAGCTTTGTTAGTACACGGAACAGTAGTATGCAGATACTGCCCAAGCAGACGCCAAACAGAGCCGAAGAAGGCGTCCCAACCGTACATGGACACTCACGGATTGCAACATGGCGAAATGTATGTTTCGTCCCAACATACACATTGTACTCTGAGTCAGCGTGCATAAAAGCACCAAGTGAGGGCCACTCGCAATTGGCGTGATCCCAAGCAGGTCGCAATAGACCCGATTCTACCCCCATTTATGCTGCACACTTGGCAAAAGAACTCAAGCTCGCGGCTGTCGGTGCACTTGAAGAAACTTTGCCCTTTGTTCGATAAACACGTGCACAAGTGTCGCCTACAAACGAGACCGTGTGCACTGGCATGTCCTGCCCAAAGCTACCGAACGATGTCCCCCCTCGCACTACTTGCATGCCATGTCCAGCCACAGCACCTTAATCCGCCTCGTCTCTCTTACTTCTTCGACGGTCTGAGTTTGCATCACACTCTTAATCCAAGTATACCAGACAACTAAAGAAGCGCACTACATACATGTATATATATATATTATCAACACCTCAACTCCGCCCAGATGTAGCGGTTTTGAGCCATTCAGGCGGTTGGAATTTGCCCAGAGGCTTGCGCGTGGTCTGTCCCGGTTGCAGTACCATCAGACGCGGCGCAATGCTCATAGACATCAGTTCTTGGAACATCAGTTTGCACGCATAAGGTATCTCGATTTGCGACACCTACAGTATTGGGATTGTAAAATGAAACATATTGAGCGTGTATATATATATTGTTGCTTATATCGAAAACACACACACACACAGGAGCTGGCGAGTAATGGTCACAGTATCACAGGGCTGAATATAAATTTAGTTTTAATATGTCCAAGAAAGACAACATACCTCCGTATGATTCTTGCACCCCCGACACTCCATTCTATTTTTAGCCAGATCGGCTATGGCGAATAGACCACAGATGTTGCACACGTGGACTCTGTATGCGTCACTCTGGTACATCATCCTCTCCTTTAGGAACAGCGCCGCACCTAAAATATTAAATGGGAGGTAAAAGAAACAACAACGGAAATCTATATTGAGAACACATCAATTTGTTAAGAACATGGCGATTAAATTCACGGCACACGTCACGCTGATCGATCATTCTCTCTTCGGGCACAGCACCACACCCAAGAAATAGCGAGTTAAGAACTAATAATAGAGCATCTATATCCAGAACGTTGGTCATTGATATTCCAATACCACGGTGAGGTGCGTGCGACAGTCTGGTATATCAGTCTGTCTTATGGTAACCACACAACGCACAAAATGCCCCACAGATACACGTACGAGGCATCAATCTACGGTCAGAGCATCCCTTGACGACAGTCCAGATACTGACACACGAGACTCTGTATGCGTGACGTGTTTTGTACTGCGCCATGTGGGAGGTATACAGTACCGTACGGGTTCTCTGGGTGTACAAGTAACGTACCGTGTGAAATCATACAGTCGCGCTCCATTTCTCCGAAACGCAGACCACCTTCTCGGGAACGACCTTCCATAGGTTGGCGGGTCAAATTCTGTGTGGGACGCAGGCAGGATGCATGAGTCAGTGTTGCGGTGACTGTATCCATATGAGCTGAGCTGACGAGTTCCCGCACGACTGCAAGGTCACATTGATGCATGAATACCCTGGATAGATTAGTACCGAGCATTGACTTACCGCCACGGGGCCACGCGCGCGCGAGTGGATCTTATCGCCCACCATATGCTTGAGTCGTTGGTAGTAGGTGGGGCCCAAGTACACCTGTACGTTGATCTTACGCCCAGTATGGCCACAGTACATGACCTCGTTACCCTTGGGGTGGTAGTTGTACTGCTCCAAGAAGGCTGAGATTCGGTGCACTGTTAGCTCGTCGTGGAACGGCGTTGCATCACCTGGGCATAGCAATGTGAAGGGGTTAGTAGGTAGTCGTTTTACTAGAGATTTTGAGGATTTGAAACAAAACAATAACACAAATACGTGCATCTCACAAGTGGCGAGATGTTTGGCCAGGCAACATATCGAGATGTATGAAGCTGAAATAGACTAAGCACATGTATATTCTTAACGCGGGACTGCATTTTTCTCTTCTGCAGGCGGAATCTCGGGCTTACATACCTTCCTCTCCTTTGATGGACGCCACTTTACTGAGCAGACACTCAATCATATGACCAACCGTCATACGCGACGGAATAGCGTGCGGGTTCACAATGATATCCGGTGTGATACCTGCAGGGTGCATGCAATCGAGCATGGGGACTATAAGTTTAGTGTGTGCTATGGCAATCATGGGGACTATAAGTTTAGTGTGTGCAATGACAATCATGAGGACTATTAGTTTAGTGTGTGCTATGACAATCATGAGAACTATTCGTTTAGAGTGTGTGCTATGACACTTATGCGTTTTTCTAGCAGAGTGTGATATGCTACCCGCTCATAACGTCCATTTGAGTCAAGAAAAACAGTGTTATTTAGTGAATGACTATCTCGCGACGTCGAGTTTATACTACAGACGTAACAAGACAAAAATACACACGCACGACATTACCTTCACCACTGAAGATCATATCCTCTGCGCGATACTGGATACCACAGGTACCCTTCTGACCGTGACGCGACGCAAACTTGTCTCCGATATTGGGCACTCGGATGTTTCGCACACGCACCTTAGTAAACGTGTTACCCTCCTGATTGATGGTCACCATCACCGAATCGATCACACCCACTTCAGTCTTCTTCATAAACGTACTGCTGTCTCTCTTTGTGTGGCGCTGTGGAAATGGGAAAGTGGATTGAGCTTAGGATTTGGGTGGGATGAGGGCCAAAAGGGAGAATGGAATTGAGAATAAAAGGAGGTTGGAAAATTGTGCACAAATTAATGGCGGCCAGCACAGATATATACCAAAAGCGAAACCAGTGTACCTGGGTATGCGAATATGGATTAGAAACGATGCATGTACGTCGTCAAAGATTTATTACGGGCGTGGCACTGTGCGTATAACCTGACCAGAAATTAATAAACTATATATCGGATATCAATCAGATCGGTGCACACACATATATAAATGTGACGGAATGCAAAGGAACAGACTAGACATCGCGCCTGTCTAACTGTATACTATTGTCCAAATGCTGGCTATGCATAAACTTAGTCCACACGTATGCATGAATACATAGAACCCATAATATACACAGATAGTATACACAATATCCACCGATACAGCTGAACAAACTGCACACAGGATCACACACTGAAGTAACACAGTACCTGTATACTGGCCAAGCTATCGTCCTGTACAATGGGGGTTGTTTTGCCAATAATCACTTCCCCACCACCGATACGCGTGCCAGGTGCCAAGAATCCGTCATGATCCAAATTATCGTAATTCGCGGCTCTAATTTTGCACAAGAATAGGATTGGAAAGGTAAGAAAAACTGGGTTATTGACGAGACAGGCAATGTTGTTGGCAGCTTGGTACACTAAAGTGTCAATCGATACGTAGAGTAGACACACCTGGACCCCGCCCTTGCATGTGGCTAAATATATATAATAAGGAACATGGTAGGTATAATCTCACAAGCGCGACAGCACTAATATGACACTAGTAAACCGGCCAACATGCACACACGGAAACACACCCATGCACACACAACATCATAAAAGTCAGACACCGTCAAATGAACACATACTGCTGGGAAATCAACTGAGGATGCAAGGAGCAACACAGCAAATGTACCGAAATAACCACATACACACACGCACACACATAACACGTACACGCACACACATACAGATCAACCACCCACCCAATTACACGCATACGCACCGTAAGCACACACATACAAACATACAAATACACACACAACAACCTCACACGCCCACAAAGACACACACGGGCGCACAAACATACAAACATGCATTTACATCAACCACACACACACAAGCATACACTCATATATACTTAAAAACACACACACATACACACAAACACACCGCATGCCCCTGCAGGTCATCTTATCTGGGCGTTCAAAGGTCTCCTCACAGTCCAGGCCTTTGGTCTTCTCCTCGTCACGATGTGATCGATAGTAGATGGATCGCATGAATCCACGGTCAATCGACGACTTGTTCAGCACCTACACGTGGTTAGAAATGTGAGTATGTGTTGGTGTACAGAACCACAATCGATGAGGAGAGCATATATATATACATACCAATACTTCAATGTATAAATGCTATCTCAATTAGTTAATCCCGAATCACGGTCAATCGATGACTTATCCAGCACCTGCATGTAATCACACATGCACACACACACATACACATATACTATATATATAAATGTGTGTGTGTTCACACCAAACATTATTACGTACTAAGGAATCGTTCTGGTTGTATCGTGTGATGTCCTGATTCCCACACGCGCATACATACCCATGGGCAACTCTGAAGCGCATCAACACACACACACACACAGGCGCACCATTCAAGCACGCACAAATACATGTGCACTGCAACCACAACTACATACCAGGGAATCCTCTTGATTGTACCCTGTGTATGTACTGATCCCCACAATGGCGTTAATACCCGCAGGCAACTCACGGAAACGCAGGAACTCCATTGAACGTGTGGCGGCGAGGGGTTTCTGCGGATAGAACATGATGTGTGCCATGGTGTCCATACGCACGTGGAAGTTGGAGATGTACACACCCATAGCCTGCTTACCCATAGCGGATTGGTACGTATTACGCGGGGACTGTAGTGGGGTATTGGAGGGAGAGCATGATGATTGTTTTGTATAAGAAGTTTATTTATAAATTGGGAGAATGCGGTGTCATGGGTGAATGGAAGTTGCACAGGTACACGCTAATACACATATATATACCGAAATAGAGAAAATGATCGTAAGTAGCACATACATCCCTAATTATATGGCTTACATTAAAGCGAATACAGCTGATAGAGATATATACATACAACCTGTAGCCTCGAACGTACAACTTTTCGCAACACAAAAACACACTGACTAGTAAAATACGAATACAATTTGAAGCATCACACGCACACACACACTCTATTACTGGCAATATACTGAAACAATTTCATACAAAACATGCATACCTGATTGTGATCCGGGAATGGCACAATAGAGGCGCAGACGCCCAGAATCATGGCCGGGTGGATCTCACAGTGCGTGTATGTATTACAGAACAGATCATTACGGCCCAAGTCCTCAATCTGCATCATGATCATCAGCGTCTCCTCCTCTGAGCAATCGATGTACTCAATCACACCGTCTGTTGGGGTGTCCGGCCGTATAAGTATAAACGTTAGTGTTTCAATTCATACACGTATGTGTTAACGTACGTAAAGTATAAACGTTATAGTTCATATTCATGTACGTATGTGTTAACACACGTGTATATGCACATCGAGAGGAAAGGTAGTGTCAATATATATTGAAAGGTTTTTTTCACCCTAACCAAACGCTACACTAAGTATCGTGCTTGATATATATGTACAAATAAAGCCCATGAGCATCCGAGGTACCTTCAATGAGAGACTGCCACGTGTATGGTTTGTGGTCCTCAGGTAGTTCGATACCATCCAGACGACAGCGATTCTGCTCCAAACGCGTGTCCGTGAGCTTTGTGACGTACTTCTTACCAATCTTGAGCCTGTAGGGTACATACACAAACACATACAAACACACACAGTATAGATAAAGCAGGCACGGTGAATAAGAGATCAGTATCTGGGAGGGCGTGACCGCATCAACATTATCGCGTTACTGGTGTCATCGACCCCTAAACATGTGCTCTATTGAAACACTGAGCTGTACTACTGATAAATTAGTATTAATGAAGCCATGTGTATCTGTGTCACTAAGGATTTATACATCAGATGCCTCCGATTAAAATCAAAACTGCATATCGCAATCGGTTATGATGCGCAAAATCGAATCCAAAATACAATACATTCTGACTTACTCTTGTGTTTCGAAGTCGACAATGAACAGCGGTCGGCAAACACGCCCTGAATCGGTCAGTAGACGCAGCTCTCTTTCTTTGATGTCACGCACCACCGACACACCGTCGGACACACCTCCCTGTGTGTGGATGCCATGTGTGTGAGGTATATACGATAGGTTGACGTATTTAACATGTATGAGATATGAAGCGATATGTTTATTTGTACGACAAATAAAGCAACAAGTTTTCCATGTGTAAATAAATGAGAAATAGAGCGGTATATCGACAATATACAAAAATATGTATAATCACATATACGTATTAGATATTGAGCTATAACTTTACCCATATATGTAATAGATATTGAGCTATAATTCTACCCCTTTATGTATGTCCAGACTAACACAACGACGTACCTCTCTGCGCAGGGCTCTGAGGGTCTCCACTAATTCGTCGGGGTTGGTGTGCACACCCACCCAATTACCATTGACGAAGACTTTAGTGGCATTGGGGATAGAACTAGCCGAAGTCTCTTCCAGACTCTCTGTGTTGTACTGTACGGCAGCCGCGGAATGGATGAATTGGGTTGAAAATCGGACCGAAAATTTAAATTGGGTTACTCTAGACGAGAGTTGTGACTCCAGCTAATTATTGGATATGAAAGTGACATGAGTCTACTCGGTGCTGAAATAAAGGTTCCATACGCTGCCTACACAGACACAGACATCACAGGCCCCTAATACACACGTAAACACAAACATCCTGCACACACACAGACACATACCTACAGACACAGACACATATATAAATAAATATACGGACAGATACACTAATATACAAACACAAACGCACGCACACAGACAGACAGATAGTAGCGAAGAGACAGTCTGCAGTGTGTAGGCCACGAGACCACTCATCCATCCACCCACACAACACACATACACAAACACACATACCCGACAAATACATAAAATACACACATACACCTACATACTTACAATCCCACACGTTCACATAGGCATACCTCAGCCAAGAACTCAATGAGTGGCGACGAAGCACTGCCTACTGTGATGTAGGCCATGAGTGAAAGGTTCTTCACCAGTCCACACGCCTGTCCTTCGGGCGTTTCGGCGGGGCACACCATGCCCCAATGTGTATTGTGCAGCTGACGCGGCTTGGCAAGTTTTCCTGCGTTTCAATTTTTGCATACAATGGTGTATATGTGTAAGTTTGAGTTATACATATAGATTATGCGCTATCCTGCGTTTCAATTTTGCATACAATGATGTATATGTGCAATTTCAATTTCGCATACAATGATGTATATGTGCAATTTCAATTTCGCATACAATGATGTGTATGTGCAAATTTGAGTTATGTATATGGACTATGCGCATTCCTGCATTTCAACTTTACATACAATGGTGTATGTGTGTAAATTTGAGTTACGCATTTGGACTATGGGCGTTCCTGCGGTTCTATTATGTAAGATTATTGGATGTATTTGTACGTACGAGGTTACATGGACACAGGCTATCACGTTATAACGAATTAAATGCCAAGCCCTGTCTGAATTAAAGAGAGCATAGTACAGATAACCCAATGCGCATTGTGTAGCTGACGAGGTTTATAGTAAGCTTCCCTACGTTTCGGACGTGTATAGAATGGGATATGTTTGTGTGCGTGAGTGTGGGGATATTTGGGACTAGTCCCGCGGGGGAGTCTGCACAAGTGTGCTATACCTATACACAGACATATCGGCGTGTCCTGAATGTGCGGACAGGTATGTGTATGCGGGACAGATACAATCAGAACATCGACTATGTAAATACACGTGTGACATGCACGATTCGACACAGGCATCGCAAGCATTTGTGTGGTGGGGACACCCTCCTACACTGGCGGAGAGTCTAGTTCTTTCGGAATCGAACCACGCTAGTAAATTTATACACTCATTCCTTCGGAATCGAACCACGCTAGTAAATGTATACTCTCATTCCTTTGGAATCGAACCACGCTAGTAAATGTATACTCTCGACGAGTGACTGAGGAGCCTACACGCTGTGAGTACGCAGACGCATGTGACACACATACCGTCACGTCCAATAGGCGTGTTCAGACGACGCAAATGCGACAGCGACGCCGCATAGGTAAGACGGTTCAACACCTGCGACACTCCAGCACGCGATGTGTGCGCCTTCTTTTGATCTCCCCAGTTCCCTGTGTGGATGCGTGCAGATATATTTTGTGCGTGAGTGAATGTGTGCGTGTGTAATCCGTGTGTAAGTGTATGTATACGGGTGATACCTGTGTATATGCGTGTAGATAGATATCAGTGCGTGAGTAAGTGCGTACGTGTGTATGCGAGTAGAGCTATTTGCGCGTAAAAAGTGCACGTGATACCTGTGTGTATGTGTGTAGATGATGTATGTGTCCGAGTATGTGTGCTTGTTTAGATGGCTGCATGCGAGAGTGTATATATGAAGGAAAAATACCTATATGATAAACAGACATAAATACACTTAGGTATCATGGGAAACATCTACACCTACATTACGGTACCACAAGCCACGCACCCACCCAGGCTGAAGCAACGAGTAATCCTCACACACCTGTCGCGAGAGAGTATCTGAGTCCATTGGTGATAATGATCGGATTGAGTGAGTAGCCCAGATTGAAATCCTTTCCTTTATCGATAGCCATCTGGATGGATCTCTGCACTTCTTTGGTCATCTTGGCGAAGAGAATGCGGAACAGACCCGCCAGAAGCGCACCCGCCAGATCCATGCGCTTGTTACCATAGTGATCACGATCATCACACTGCAGAGACCGGGAGAGGAGGTGTCATGTAAGTCGAGGCTAATTGCTTAAATACGTGTTATATAAGCTAGAAATGATTCGGACAAGAGCTGTATTTAAAGTGAAGTATATAACTGTAGAGAAGTACAAAATGTGGTAAACATACATGGGTAAGGATGTGGGATGGCTATACGCCAGAACTAACGGGGTAAGGAACCGCAATAGGGCAAAAGGAAGGAAGACTACGCCGTGAGTGCATACACGCCTCATAGTAACCACGAAAATATGTCTTCTTGACCTCACAGAACTAAAATAAAAAGAAACAAAACCCCCCCCAAACCACACGTGGATATATATATATATATATATATATATATATGAGTCTATGATATACAAACTCGCATGCGCACATGTACAATCGAACACAGCCGCACAATCACATATGTTCACGTACATAGGCAAACACATGCACACCTCTCTTCGGCCCAATGCGGCAAGCAACAACCTATGCACCATGTAGCCGAAGAAGTACGCCTTCTTGGTCTCACAGAACTCCTCTACGCTGACGTGTGGCAACATATCTTTCTGCAGCAACTCCTTGGCATACTTGATACGCTCGGGCTTGGTGGCTCCAGTGGTGGGACCTCTCGTGCCTATTTATAGAATAATAATACAGATATTGAAGAGTGGAGGAGGATGTGATATGGGTTTTTATTTTGAGAAGAGAACCAGCTGTGTAGGGTTGTTAGGTGACCCCAAAGGTGACCCCCTCGCCGAGGGCCCGAATTTATAATCGATGATGAGCAAGCAATTTGAGTATGGGGGATGGGGATTCCACTATATAATTCGGAGTAGAACTGACACAGCTTACACAGCTACCACAGCGATACAAACATAAACACTGACATATATATATATATGTTTATATATATAATATATACATATATATATATATAAATATATACAAATAGTATATATATATATATACAAATGTATATATATATATATATAAATATATACAAATGTATATATATATAAATATATACAAATGTATATGTATAAATATATACAGATGTATATATATAAATATATACAGATGTATATATAAAAATATATACAGATGTATATATATAAACATATACATATGTATATATATAAATATATACATACATACAAACTCACACACACACACATATATATACACATATCCAACTATTTACATCTCGTCCAATTAACGATTCCATCTCCCAACTCAGCACATACCGATGAAATCCAGGGCCACATTCTGCAACTGCACCACAAAGGCCTCCTCCAGACTGGGCTTCAGCATTTCAATCATCTGCTCGTCTCCGAAATCATAGACAATGTGTTCCAAGATATCTCTATCGGCAACAAATCCCAACGCTCGGAACACAACCACACACGGCACAGCCGCCTTGATGTAAGGGAGGGTGGATTCGACAGTTTGCCCGACTTTGTCCCTACAAACCCGAATAATTAGGATGAAAGGGTGTCATTTTCGGGAATATTTCAAATAGAGAAATGTAATTCCTGTAGAATGCTGCCTGACCAGAATGAGTGTATCAAGGATCCGGTGAATGGGGATGTACTTGGCCTGTCACTTAAGAAGTGCATTGAATAAGAACTAGTTACAATGTTTCTTGTGCAAATACATCCACATCCAAATCCACATCTACACACATACACACACACACAAATATATATTTATAGTGATGTGAGTGCATCAGTATACGTGGTATCCATAAGCATGCAGACATAGATGTATTATGTGGGCAAAAGTGAACATACCTGACTGAACTCGTTCACCAGCATATATATCATGTGCAAGCATATAGATATACAAATGTATGCAATTTACGCACAGGTGAGTCAAAACAAACTATTGATACAACATACACAGGTACAGCTGCATCCATTATATCAATATACCAATATATATATATACATACATATATACATACATACACACACATATATACATACATACATACAGTATGTACAAGTGTATATTTGTGGTACGCACACGTACGAGTCTACGCACCTTCCTGAACTTCTGGCCATCAGAGTGACAAACAGTGACTGTGCGGGCTGTCGCCCCGTCTCAGTTGCAGAACGGATCTCGGCCGCATACGCGTACTTGGACGGCTGCTTCTTCGCAAACACATACACCTGTGGCATCACACGACACATACAGTATATTGAGTGTGTATGCATTAAGCGTATGGTGACTACATCTAAAACCTCAAACGTCAGGATGCTGTTCTTCCCTCTTTCCGACCACTAACAACTGAGAGACTAAATGATAAGTAAGGAATGGTGAGTGTGTGCACTACTAAATGGCAAGTAAGCAATGGTGAGTGTGTATACTAATATCCAATGATCGTTTCTACGCGAACACATACACCTGTGATGTAACGCGATCACTTGAAGTTTAGCGTGCCTGTGTATAGAACGCCGCACCATTACATTGTATATATTAAACAAAAATATGCTGCTCTTATTTCACGCGCAAATAAACTGATAAACATAAGATGCTGAGTGTGTATATGAATATGACAAGCACCACTTCCACTGATAATATCTAGAACCTTAGATATTTACAATAGACATACATAACAATAATGTATATATATATATATATATATATCTATATAAATATATGTATCTACATATATAAAATCATATATATATACATACACATATCTACCTATATATAATCATAGAAACAATCTATAAACCCTTCAAGTGTGATAGGTCAGTGTATAATATGGTGGAATGTAGAACCGTTCACACGAGAGTACACACTGTGAGAGTTTACAACACAAAAGCGCTGTGGCATGAGACAATCATTATTATACTAGATACCCATTTACTTGTATCACACAATGTTCATGGCGCCATAAGTGGGAAGTAGCGGGACCATGACAGATACACCGATAACACACACGATTTGCATGTGGCTACATCCACACAGGAATTTACATACACATCTACTTTACCAATATACACGCAAATACCTGGTTACGACTCATAGACTCCTGGGCAATAAGCACCTTCTCAGACCCATTGATAATAAAGTAACCCCCCTGATCGTATGGGCACTCTCGGATGTCTTGCAATTCGCTCTGTCCCAAGTTGAACAGCAGACAGTACTTGGACTTCAACATAATGGGTACTCGCCCAATGTAGATTTTGTCGAATTTCTGCTGAGTTCCCTCGTCTGTATAGGTGTAAGTAAAAGTGTTATATGTACGTGTATATAGTGATCTATAAGTGTATGCACATCTGGAGTTATGAATGCAGATAAGCGTGATTTTTATAACATATTAATATATGTACAAAAATACAGACATACACATACACACGCACACACACTTACATATATATACATATATAGGTAAAGAGAGAGAGAGAGATATATATATTATACCCGATGCAGCCTCTGTATATGCGTTTAAGTATGAACCATTTATGTATAGCATATTTAAATATCCATTCAATTTTCTTTGAGTAGCAAAATAATATGTAGTCAACCAGTTTACCGAAAGGTAAATGATGATCACGCGATACCTATATCAGTGGCTGTCGCATGTTTGTTCACATGACACGTGCACCCAGACCCACACATATAGACCTTAATATCGAAGCAGATAAATAGAAATAGGAATAGAAATGTAAATGTAAATATGAATGTAAATAGAAATGTAAATGTAAATAGAAAAATATATACATATATATAATGTGTATGAGTTGATCCCCGCATATGGCAGACACTTACCATCGTCACCAGTATACACCGCCTTCTCGATATCAATGAAGATATTGGACGAATACGTTAAGTTACGCAATCGCGAGTCATTAGGGTACTGGGGATCGGTGGTTCCATCGGCTTCCAGAATTGTAGGCTTACTGAGATAGATCTGGTTGAATTTGATCACCTATTACAAATGGGTGCATGCAAAAATAGATACAGGTGATTAGGGTAGATTGGCATACAATGGACATCGTTGCAACTTCAGATAGAATATACAGCTTAGGGGCAAATTGGTAGAGGTAGATAGTGAGAGTGAGGTAAATCGGTGTACACTGGTCATCGCTGCGGTATGCTCGCATATATGTGATTGCATGATATATATATATATATATATAAATTAGATCATTTATAAAATATCGGTTTACTATGTGTGCAATGCGGAACGTACGCGAAAGAATGATGGGCGAGGTTTTCGGTCATATTGGACCGAACCTCCCCACAAAACACGCTCCATAATCACACCCACCCACACCCACATATGTATAAATAGATAGATATAGATTATACAGATATACACAATATACAACTTTATAACCTTATAGATATGATCATGATCGGTAGAAAGTTAAAATACAACCTGTCTGAGTGCGCACACGTGTCATGCGGGTACTCAGACGCAAGAAACAAAAAAAAATTAGGTACTGTATTGGATCTGCGTATTGCGCATATATGGTGATATTTGTGTAGATGAATGTTCCCCACACACACTTAGTTAACATTTACATAACTGTCCATTCCTTTAGCACATGTGTATATACCTGAGTACAAGCCTAGGTTTATATATATATATATATATATGAACTGATCCGGTATTTATATATGTATGTATATTGATGTGGTGCATATATAACTTACATAGCGGGGCGGTGCCTCAGCGTGAGCGTGCTGATGCTGTGACTCGGCCTGCAGCTCAAGACCTGACGATTCATCTACCACTTCTTGCATACTGTTAGCGATGAAGTCATCGAAGGAATCCAGTTGCTGACGCACTATATATATGTATATATATAGAAATGGTTAGTCCATGATTGTATACCCATTGAAATGATGAGAGTACTCATAGGCATAGTTTATTGGCATACTTAGAAGCCTGAAAAAGTGAAATGATTTCTTCTTCATTCTGTCTCATAAACTGTGCAAGAAAGGATGTAGAAGCAATTCAGGACACTCACTCACTGGTGAAAGGTCTCCAGAAATATATGTAATATATAAGTATATGAGCACCAAATGGGTGTTCATAAAGTACTATTTACAAATGAAAGGGAACGACAGCGTACCAGTGAGCGACCATGTGCCCACTGATTACCACACGCTCACCTGGAGACACGCATGCATGCTACCGCAATATAGATCCAATATAGATCCACACCCACACATAGCTACACAGACAAAGCTTTGAACACTACATGCATACTCCCTCTACGAAACCATGTAGACTGTCACCATACCAATCACACACTGACCGCTGGCTATACATACACAGCTTCAACTATTATTCCACATGCGAACACATCCATCAACACCGTATTTCCATGAGGCGCAAGCTCGATTATGTACCTACCCTCTTGTTGTTGAATGAAACAAAGATTCCATACCAGTTGTGTGCTAAAATGGAGTTGTGATTGTCACACACTGTCCACAAGAAAGCACTCGACACACATCTCACGCGTCAGTGTAAATACTGTTGAGGAACTCGCTCCAGAATATACACTAAGCAGAACGCACACACACGCACACGCACACATACGCACCTAAACCCTTCTCCTGGAAAAAGGAACTAATGACCTCCCAACAGTCCTGATGCTTCATGGAGTCGTCATCTTCCTGTTCCATCCCTTCGCCATCCTGCATGCCATCCTGCATGTCATCGGCCTCATAGCCATCTGTGCATGTATTTGTGTGTGGATGTAAAATTAGGTATCACCTTAAACCCATCTGTGCATGTATTTGTGTATGCATGTAAAAATAGGTATCGTCTTAAACTTATCTGTGCATGTATTTGTGCATATATGTATTAGGTATCACCTTAAACCCATTTGTGTATGTATCATAGCCATCTGTGCATGTATTTGTATATGTATGTAAAATTAGGTATCACCTTAAACCCATTTGTGTATGTATCATAGCCATCTGTGCATGTATTTGTATATGTATGTAAAATTAGGTATCACCTTAAACCCATTTGTGTATGTATCATATCCATCTGTGCATGCATTTGTGTATGTATTGTGCGTGTGTGTGGAATTTGATGTCAGCCTCATACACATGTGCGTATATATGTGTGTACGTGAATTTAATTCATAACCATCTGTGTATGTATCTGTGCACGTATGTGAACCTTGATAGCAGCGTCATACCCACTTGTGTATCTATTGTATGTGTATGTGGAATTTGATAGCAGCCTCCAAATCAATCTGTAGATGTACTTGCGTAATTATGTAACTTTTTTTATACATCTGTGTATGTATATGTGTGTATGTGTGGCAAGTTATCAGCCTCATGCTCATCTGCACTTGTACTTGTGCGTGTATGTGTAATAGGTTATCAACCTATTACTAATGTTATCAGACTGATACCAATCTGTATGTGTGTGTATGTTAGAATTTGTGGTCACCATCATACACAACATGTCGGTGCATACATGTGTAACTGAAATATGTGAGGGCATGTATGTAAGAATGTATGAATATATATGTGGCTACATGTCACAGGCAAGATGCATTTCTGTGTTTGTGCATATATAGTTCACAAGTAAGCATACATGTAATATAAATACGTACGAATTCATGTGTGTATAAATTAAAAGAAAGTCAAATATATAACCAACTACAAATCATATACGTATTTCCTCCAGTGCCCAGAAGTATGCACCCATCTTTGGTTATGAGTGAATAAATACTACTACTAATACTACTGAGAACGTACAGTTCCAAGCATTTTTGAGCGAACACTACCAATCACAATATACAGTTAAAAGCGAGGATTGTCATGTAAAATATAATACCTATCGGCATATATCATACATACACACATATACATATATATGGCATATATATATATATATATATATTATAGATGGGGATATATACATATATAAACCAATCGGGATATATATATATATAAATACACGTCTATATCATGCAAACGTACACACGTAAATACATACATACATGCACACATACATACACCCCCCCCCCACCTATATATATATATAGATGGGTTTAGACACAAGCACAAACACAAACAAACACACACACACACACACACGCATAAAATATATAAAATGCATATGCATAACATAAATATCTATGCAAATATGTGCAGATACTGTACACACACGCACACACACACATATATATATATACACACACGCACACACACACAC